GGGGCCTCCTGGGCTGACCAGGGTCCCCTCGAACAACCTCTCTGACTCAGGACAAGCTGGAGCGAAAGGGCAAGCCCTACAGCCAGTGCACGGTGAACGGCTCCGACGTCCCCATCCGCAACCTCTACAGTGACTACAACACCACCTACTCCATCCAGGTAGCGGCGGCACTGCCCCCTGGCCCTGGGCCGTCTGGTCGCCCGGCCTGAGGCCCAAGGCTCTGGGACCGCTGGGCTGGCTGTGCTGGGCTTTGGGGGCACGTTGGGGTGGTTCCGTGGATGTAGTGATACTTGGGGCTGTGGAGCCAGTCCAGTCCCCGGGTTCTCACCAGGGCCCGGGGTTGCCCGCCTGCCATCCCCCTCGGCAGGCAGGGTGCCCGTGGGGATGCCCTGGGTTGTCAGGGTCTCACTCTGGGGCCCCACGCAGAACCCGTGTGTGTATGAGCTAAGGTTTTGCATGTGTTACATCATCATTTGATTCTTTCAACACCCCACGAGGGAATAATACACTAACAACAGTTGTTAATTATTATATATGCTATTTAGTTGTTATCAGTGTGAATTAAGTGCTATTTAGTTGTTATCAGTGTGAATTAAGCCCTTGCAGCTGGCCCCCTCCACCCACACTCCGCCCAGCAGGCATGGTCCCCTCAGCAGGGGCAGCCCCCGGGAGACAGGGAGAGTGTAGGAGGCCACAGAGGCATTAGCTCCCCCGATGAGACCTCTTTCCAAGAAACCCCTTGCTCCTTTCAATGCAATAGCACCTCTGGCCAGAGACCTTGGCAAAGACCCCGGGCACCTGTGCCAACCCCGGCCTCCGTCACGGGGCTGGAGACACCACCTGCTTCCCAAAGGCAGAGCCCCTTGTCTCCCCGCCCCTCCCCCAGGCTGCTCACCGCCTGCTCCCCATTTCCTGGTCCAGACCAGGGACTAGGCCAGGCCGGCCCTCCCCCTTAGCCCACAGGTGACTGCCACCCTGCTTCCCCCACGAGGGAGGGAATCGCTGCTGCAGACACAGAGCGGGTCTCAGGGGATGCCAGTGGGTGGAATGCGCCGACCCCGGAGAGTCTTCACATCCTGCCTGGCGCCTGGCGTGGCAGCCCGGGCTCCCCGCCCTCCCAGCTGGCAGCTGAGCGGTCCCCCAGGAGGCGGCGCAGGCCCGCCGTCCCCTCAGACCTGCTCCTGCTCCTGGGCCGCCTGTGTAAAGGGCTCGGAAGGCCGCTGGGCCTGTAACAAGAGCTGCAGCCAAGTGTCAGCGTCCGCATGTGGAGCAGCCGCCCTTCCCCTGTGCTCAGGGCCCAGCACCTCGGGGAGTGGCCCAAGCCCGCTGCAGCTCGGCCACCTCAGCACCACTTCGCAGGGGGACGCCTCCCCTGGCTCCCAGCTCCCTGGGCCCATCCCGCAGGCTGCGGTGGGGACACCACTGGTCATTGCAGCCTCCTGTCCCCTCCCCAGGCCTGTATTCGCTCCTGCTTCCAAGACCACATGATCCAGAACTGCAGCTGCGGCCACTACCTGTACCCCCTGCCCCGAGGGCAGAAATACTGCAACAACCAGGAGTTCCCAGACTGGGGTGAGTGGGCCCCAGCCATGGGCACCGAGCCCACCAGGCCCTGTCCACAAAGGCTCTGATGCCAGGGAGGTGCAGGTCCATGCCCTCAGCAGGACCTGGTGTACCCGGCTTGCTCAGCCCCTGCCCAGCACCCCTCCCGGGCCACCGCTCCCCTCCGCACCTCACCCACGGCTCCTACACTTAACTGTGTCGCAAGTGATGCTGTCTGTGCCACATACACACCCTCACACGTGTGAGCCTGGCATGCCACTGTGGCGCATGCACACGTGTGCTATGCGTGTTCCCCACGCACGTGTGAAGGGCAGTGGTGTGTTGTGTCCTGTGGTGCCAGCAGCCAGCGTGTTGGCACAGCAGCCTGCGCTCAGGGTCTGCACTAGCGCACTAGTTCCTGCCTCCACGTGCGCCAGCCTCAGCACTGTCCCTGTCAGGGCAGCTCTCCTGGGCTCTCTGTGGGGTATGGGCAAGGGGCGGGGACTCCCAGGTCTGAAAGCTGAGGCTGCAGGAGAGGAGGGGCCCAGCCCTGAGCTGGATCCTTACGGCCCAGGGTCCCAACACCAAAGGGGGGCCGACGACAGCAGGCAGAGTCCCACCACCTCTTAAAGCCAACGCACTGTGGGAACAAGTGGGGAGACTTGTGTCCCTCTACTCAGCCCTGCACCCTGGCCCCATGGGAGTGAGGTGACCGCAGAGTGAGCTGCCCTGCCCCTGCTCCCTGAAGAGAACTCCCCTCCCCCCCAGTCACAGACCTTAGGCCCAGGGCCTGGAGGGTAGAGGGCAGCCTGGGGCTCCCAGGGGAGAGGAGAGCAGCGGGAAGGCCGCTCAGAGTCTGCCCTCTCCCTGCTCAGTCTACTGCTACTCGCAGCTGCGCCAGAGCCTGGGCCAGAGGGAGGCCTGCATCCGGATGTGCAAGGAGTCCTGCAAGTGAGTGCGGTGCAGGCGCGTCCGCGGCGGGCAGGGCAATGCCGGGGCTGCGGGGCGGACAGCCACGGGGATGCCTTCTCTCTTCCAGTGACACCCAGTACAAGATGACCATCTCCATGGCCGACTGGCCTTCTGAGGCCTCTGAGGTGAGGGGGTGGGCCTGCATCCCACCCCACCCCCACCCCCACTTTCTTCCACTCCCAGCCACTGTGCAGTGAGCCACGACAGAGTCCTGTGTCCTTGCAGTGCTTGCATTCTGGCCAGAGGGTCAGCCCACAGAAATAAGACCATGCAGAGTAGGGTGATGACTGTAGCCAGAAAGCCTCTTTAGATGGTGGCCAGGGAAGGGCTCCCTAAAAAGGTGATGGAGCAACGGATGGAGCTAAGCCAGCACGGGCAGGGCCTGGGAGCGAGACCGGGCAGTGGGCAGAGCCGGGGAGCAGGACCAGGCAGTGGGCAGGGCCGGGAAGCAGGACCAGGCAGTGGGCAGGGCCGGGGCCAGAGGTGGGCAAGGCCGGCAGAGGATGGCTGAGCCTCTGGGGGGAGAGTCTGGAGACCTGAGCGCCTCCTCCCCATAACAGCAGCCACATCGCACACTATTCCCTCCGTCCCTGCTCTCTTCGACCCAACACACGTCCCTAAAGAGATGGCCTGCCCCCAGAGGAAGCAGGGCCCCTCGTTGGGAGGGAGTGCTGCAGGCCCCATTTTTTTCAGCTGCTTCCTTGGGTTGCAGGACTGGATTTTCCATGTCTTGTCTCAGGAGCGGGACCAAAGTACTAATATCACCTTGAGCAGGTAAGCCTGGCGTATGGGCAGGGCTGGGGGGGGGGGTGGGGCAGAAAAGGGCTCAGGAGAGGAGTCTGGACACAGGGCAGCTCCTCAGATCCCTTCTCACACTGCTCAGACCTGGGAGTGAGCCTGGAGGAGGCAGTATTGGGAGTGAGGAGCCACCCAAGGGGACTCGGAGTGACCACTCCCAAAGGAGAGCCCGTTCCTCCTTCTGCCACCTGTTCATACACCCATCCACGCATCCATCCATCCATCCCCCCTCCATCCTTCCATCCATCCATCCATCCTCCTATCCATCCTCCCATCCATCCATCCATCCATCCTCCATCCTTCCAGTCTTCTACCCACCCACCTATCCATCCATTCATCTGTCCATCCACCTATCCTTCCATCCCTCCTCCCATCCATCCATCCATCCATCCTCCATCCTTCCAGTCTTCTACCCACCCACCTATCCATCCATTCATCTGTCCATCCACCTATCCTTCCATCCCTCCTCCCATCCATCCATCCATCCATCCTCCATCCTTCCAGTCTTCTACCCACCCACCTATCCATCCATTCATCTGTCCATCCACCTATCCTTCCATCCCTCCTCCCATCCATCCATCCATCCATCCTCCATCCTTCCAGTCTTCTACCCACCCACCTATCCATCCATTCATCTGTCCATCCACCTATCCTTCCATCCCTCCTCCCATCCATCCATCCATCCATCCTCCATCCTTCCAGTCTTCTACCCACCCACCTATCCATCCATTCATCTGTCCATCCACCTATCCTTCCATCCCTCCTCCCATCCATCCATCCATCCATCCTCCATCCTTCCAGTCTTCTACCCACCCACCTATCCATCCATTCATCTGTCCATCCACCTATCCTTCCATCCCTCCTCCCATCCATCCATCCATCCATCCTCCATCCTTCCAGTCTTCTACCCACCCACCTATCCATCCATTCATCTGTCCATCCACCTATCCTTCCATCCCTCCTCCCATCCATCCATCCATCCATCCTCCATCCTTCCAGTCTTCTACCCACCCACCTATCCATCCATTCATCTGTCCATCCACCTATCCTTCCATCCCTCCTCCCATCCATCCATCCATCCATCCTCCATCCTTCCAGTCTTCTACCCACCCACCTATCCATCCATTCATCTGTCCATCCACCTATCCTTCCATCCCTCCTCCCATCCATCCATCCATCCATCCTCCATCCTTCCAGTCTTCTACCCACCCATCCATTCATCCATCATCCATCATCCATCCTTCCATTATTCCACTCACCCATCCTCCAGCCATCCATCATAAACACAAACATGCACTGAGCACAGAAAAGACATGAGGTGCATATATCAGGAAACCTGAATCTAGAGGACAGATTGATGTGAGCAGAGCTTCTCCCTGTGGGAGCACAATGGGAAGGAGCCTCCATCTGCCAGGAGAGATAAGGGAGGTCTGTATAGAGGGGTGTTGCTGGAGCTAACCCTCCAAGGAGGAGTAAGAATTATTCAGAAAAGTAAGGCCTGGACGTGAGCAAGCTCAGCCTTTCCGAGGGCCACCGGGTGTAAGGGCGCAGCCCACTTGGCCACCCTTCTCTGCCCCAGGTTTCCTAACAGGGGCAAGGGTTAGGGTGGACTCTCTGCAGCGTCTCCTGTATGTGGGCTGGGCCGCCCTGGGGGTGGGAGAGGGGAGCTCTCAGGGGCTCTCTTGGGCCAGAGTATCCCTTAGGAAGCTGGTTCAGAAATGGGCCCACAGGATGGGCGCTGGGCAGAGATGCCTTTTGTGACTCAGGCTCAGAGGGGCCACTCATGGGACTGGCCTGTGCCAAGCTCAAGCAGAGGAGGGCTGGGCAGGTGTGTGTGTGTGTGTGTGTGTGTGTGTGTGTGTCCGGGAAAGGGCACCAGTCCCTGTTGCCTCCTGCAGGAAGGGAATTGTCAAACTCAACATCTACTTCCAAGAATTCAACTATCGTACCATTGAGGAGTCAGCAGCTAATAACGTGAGTTTGGGCTCCTGACCCCTCTGCCCTGCACCCTGCGGGTCAGGAGGGTCCCCCGCCCACAGAGGCGTTAGGAAGGAAGGTCTCTAAGTGCTTGTTTCCCTGGGCTGAGATGGTCCCCTGCCCCTTCCCAGTCAGCCGCCTAGCTCACAGGACTCAGGAGGCTGGGGTCCAGGCAGGGCCTGTGGCCTGCCCCCACCTCCGCCAGGCTCTCAGCCCCCTGCCCCCCACAGATCGTCTGGCTGCTCTCGAATCTGGGCGGCCAGTTTGGCTTCTGGATGGGGGGCTCGGTGCTGTGCCTCATTGAGTTCGCGGAGATCGTCATCGACTTCCTGTGGATCACCGTCATCAGGCTGGTGGCCTTCTCCAAGAGCCTGCG